TGTTTGTAATAATTCAATAAGTAATTGAAGAAGTGAATCAAGATTTTCCTACGAAAAAAATAAAACTATGAGTTTGATTTAAATTTAAAAAAAAACGAATTTATACGAACTAATTTCACAGCTTGATCGGATAAATTTCGAAGAATTTGTAAACAATTTTGTTGTACACGTAAACTTATTGGTTCATATAATTGTTTTTCAAGTATACGAACTGCATTTTTTGATATCATAACTAATTTTATTGATGGACTAACAGATAAAACACGAAGAAGACGTGTTGTTGTCCATAAAAGTTTTTCATAATCCGTTAATTCTAATATACGTAATAATTGTTGTGGACCATTACTTGATTCAATAATAATCTAAATAAATCTTAGATTTTAATTTCTTGTCTAAAGCTTCTTCTTTTTTTTTTGTGGTTTTTTAGAAAATTTTTTGAAGAAAAAATAAGTAGTCTCAAAATGCATAACCAAGAACAAAAAAGCTGTTTTTATCAATGATGCAAAACTTACCGTTGAAAAGATTCTGAATGAATGTGAAAGAAAATTAAATAAAACTAAGCAAAAAAGAAAGTTTTTTTTTTCATTCATTTACCTTAACTTCTTCATTATTAAATGCTAACATATGAAGACAATCAGTAAGTATAGCTAGAAATTTTGGATTTGTACTATTTAGTAATCCAACCATTTTTTGACAACCACCACAACGAAGAATTTCTAATTTTGCTTGTTCTAAATGTAATAATAAATTATGTAATGTTGATAATGCATAATTAACAACAGATTCAATTGATGAACTATGAATCCCAAAAAAAAAAATCAATTATTAAAAAAATTTTGTTTGACAATAAAGAAAAATGAATAAATTTACTCTAAAAGTCGAACAAGTAGTGGAATAACACCTCCTTTGAACATTAGATGAAGTCCTTGCTTTTGTTGAGATAAACAATGTAAAACACCTGCAACACCGCGACGTGTTTCATCATTAGCACGTGGATTTGATATAGCTTGAATTAATGCTTGAATCATTGGTAGTGTAGATAATGCTAATCGACTAGCTTCTTTTTTTGCTAATGTATGTAAAACTAAAGCTGCTTGTCCAGCAACAATTGGATCATCATCATTAAGTAAACGTATTAATTCAGGTAAGGCTTTTTCAGTTATTTCAGCATCTTCTTTATAATTAATTATATCAATGACAGCATTTTTTAATAGTTGAGATGGTTCAGATAATTTTTGTACTGCTGTTGGTTGACCATTAACAAATTGTGTTGAAGGCATTGTTAATGATAAACCATCTGCAACACCATCTTCAAGTGTTTCAGGAAAGATAGCAGCTCGAATACGTTGAGCACGTGTTGAACTCAATTGAGCATTCATTGAATCGATATGTTCTTGCATCATATAGTCATCCATTCCACCATTACGTGAATGAGTTCGATGACTATAACCATTCATTGAACTTGCCATTTGATATGATTCGTATTCCATGAGGAAAAAATTCACAAAAAAAAAGCTACAGTAATAGTTTAACGGCAGTCGAAAGAACAATCAAATGATTGAGTTGAATAAATGTTAAACAGTAAGCTTATTCGCCATATTGTTTATTTGATAAAATTTTTTTTTTGAACACGTTAAATAAATAAATGTTCATATATTAAATTGAAAAAAAGAAAGAATTTTTTTAATTCTTTATTATTTGACTGGAAAAAAACAATTGAGAATAACCTTTAAAATGATGTAAAAAAAATGCCAATTATTAGAATAGATGGCGCACATTGATATAATGACATTAATATGTGTAGTATGGTCATTTCAATGGACTATTCGATAAGACGACGTATGTTTAGATTTCCGAAAAAAGAAAATTACTAAAATTTTTGTAGTTGCCATATACGTGTCAATAGCAACACAATTATAGTGAGAAATTTTGTACAGGCGAAAATCACTAAGTTACGAAAATTTCAGAAATTTGAAAAATAGAATTAGTTTTTGAAGCTGTGTCACTGAAATTTCTAGATGAAACAACTTAGCGAAGAGTTAATATATATTTTGTTTTGATAATTTAGAGTCGCATTACGGGTTGAGTTCATATTGCAATTAAGATGTAAGCACAAAGAAGCTTGATTAGTCAATGAAATAGAGAATAGATGCTACTTATGAGTAGAGTAAAACCTAGGATCAAATTAATGTTAGTCTATTAGTAGCCAAGCAATTTTATTTTAGACAAATGAATAATTTTGCCAAGATCATGTTTCGAGGAAATGAAGATTCAATAGCGCGTGTATCAGATTGAGTTACTCGATAACTATTGAATTTTTCTACAAGAACATCGACTAAGACTAAGCACCAAACTATCAGAACCGTTATACATTAAAGCTCAACTAAATCCGAAAGTCAATAGTGAGATTGGCTGATTGCCGTCTTTGACTATGAACATAGATGGGACGTTCGATGGATAATTATCTCCTATATAGAATCGAACAGAGACAAGCAATGATTGTCCCTGTTGTAGAAAAGCATAAATCAACATTTACACTGCATAGGTTTTCAGACAAATGAAAATTATCGTTATAACTGAATTGATGAGTTAATTGTGAAACTGGAAATTTGTCTATGATTTTTGAAACTGCTTCTATTGAAAAACTTGAATCAATATCATTAAACTGCACTTAGACTTCGAAATATTGCAAATATTTGATGTCGACTTTTTTTTCATATTATTGTTGGAACATATAAATACATCAATAATACTGTATATCTACCAGATAATGTCTTATTTCTGAATGCTAATACATTCGTTTTTGTCACTAGTAATCTTAATTTTCAGAATACCTTGTTTCAATCGAGCAGAGAAAAGTATACGACGTTGATTCATTTTAAAAAAATCGATGTAAGACACATGGTATTACTGGAACATTCACCAGCACATTTCACTTGTATCTTAATGTGTGCTATGATATGAAACGTAAAATAAATTTCATTCGATTTGAATCTTGCATTTATGTATACCGTCACAGTCAATGATGCGCGAAATAAGAAAAATGATACCATGTACAACACTGTGTACAAGAAACGAAAGATAAGCGTTAAAAAATAATGCTCTTTGTTTCCATATGTCGAGATCAAACTTTTTTAGTTTGTTTTTTTTCTTAATAAAAAAGAAAAAAGAACTGTCATTACTGTATAACAGTACAAAAGAATGTAATTTGTCCTAAAGGAATATTCTTTCATATCAAACTATGGCGAGTAATTGAAATCAATTTCTACTTCAAAGAGTACTATATTACCTTCTTAAAAGAAAGAGCTTCGTTTTTGATGTTTATCTATGATGAAAAATATTTCACATGAAGAGTAATATTAGTATTTGAAAATCTTAATTTATTAAGTCAAGTTCAACAAAGGTAGATATACGTAATTTCATAATCATCGGTAGTTGGTCATCTTATAAATCTAATGGTGTACAATTAATGCATAAAGTAAAAAAAAGCTATACTTTATATTCCATTATTTCTCGTTAGTATTTCAATTATAAAATGTGTAAGAATGGACTTTGTTAAAATCAATGGACAAACATGAGTAAATTCTCATGATTTAATATACTTGGTTAGAGTTGTTGCAGTTGTAGTTTAACGATTCACTTGATAAAATATTCCACTACATCTAATATATAAAGAAGAGTATTTGCTTGTGTTTGTTTGTTCTTTGTGCATTTGAACCCTGTGAAAGCCAGTGCAACCAAACTTTGCATGGTTTTCTCTTTCGTCCAGGGAAAGGTCAAGGACTATGTTTCGATACAAAATTTTGATCTCGTTTTTCGCTTGGCAAAAGCAAAAAAATGCCTGCTATTTTCTGCGTTTTTTTGGAAAAGTTTTCGCTAACCCACCCTCCAAATTAGGATCGCCACCAGCCTCTAGGGAAAAAAATGAGTTGCGGACTCAAAAATCTCCCTCCTTTCTCATTCGTGAACTCTACTCAGGCTCCTGAACGCTGCGTATCGAAAATATCTGTCGTGATCTGTGAAACAGGGTGGGATTCACTTTTCCTGCTATGAACTTCAACGGGCATTTTCAATCGTGTTTCACAAAATATTAAGAAGAGCAAAACCTTAAAATTTAGAAATGTCAAAATCTTTGAGAAAGTTTTAAAATGAAAAGGATTTTAAGTGCATTTGCCGACATCCAAGATCGGTAACTTATAGGAACCCATAAGGCTACTGTTTTCCAATTTGTTATAAATGATATGTTGAATTTCCTCTGGCAACGCCGAGTACTTTGGCTAGTGATTAATAAAGAAGGAAATGATCTATTTACTGAAAAAGTGTTAAACTAACTTTCAACAACCCATAAATTATTTCTTGAATGACTACCTCGTAATAAAACATAATCATTTGTCAATGAACAAAATTTTATTTTTCTATATTAAATTTCCTTCAAACCGATTTAAATTATTATTCGATGGTTCACATTCAATTTTAGCTTAGTAAAAAACAATTTACTAAGCAAAATGACTAAATAATTACTATTCATTTTTGTATTCAGATTCAGCGAACATATAAAATATAGTGTACTTTCTATTGATGAGATTCCTAGACACTTTTTACTAATATTTTCTGATAATTCTTTTGTATCCTCGTGTACACATGTTTTTAATAATTAAGTTTAGTCTTCCCGTATTTGCTTATCTTGAATCTTTATTTTATATCCTTTTTATAGATGTGTATTAAAAGAAAATGCTGCTTAAATAAAAATACATTTAGTAAAACGAGCGCAACATAGTTTGATCACCAGAATCAAGTGTTTTAAGACAGTCCACCATTTGCTTCAGTACAATTTTGTATGGATAATCTTCTGGATAGGTTGTTTGTTCACATTTATGAATAAGTGCTCTTTGATCTGCAATTGTCCGTAGATTATGATGAGCAATCTCGGGTCGCTTCGATACAATTTTTCTTAAATCTATTAACTTGATTGCTGCATTTGTTTCGTTTTCTAATTCTTGTTAAATTGGATTCAATAGTTGAGCGACCATTGAATGATTTTGTACTTGATCAGTAAAAACTTCTTTTTTATCTACTTTTAATAATCGTATAACTTCTGTTTCAATTTTACACCATTCATCTATACAAAAAAGTGATAATTTTTAAAGTTGTGATCATTAATTTACTTATAAAACGAATCCATCCTGTGAGGTGAAGAGTTTTTTTACAAATTACTTTATTGACGTAATAAAATTGAAATAATCTTACTACTTCATAAGCATCGATTTGAATATCTCGCAGTAGTGATTTTGATTCAATATTATCTAATCGTTTTTGTAAATGATTAATTGCTTTTTGTTGTTCTTCTATTTGTTTTGCACTTGTACCTACATAACGTTTTAAATTTTGGATCTCTTCGGTAATGGACTTGAAAATATTTTCAAATCCCTCTTTAACATGAACATCAATACCCAATGTAGATAGAATTTGTTCGATATAATTGTAAATGTCATTATCTAATGACGTTTTTTGAATATTTTCAAAATAGGTATACATGATTGGAATGCTTTTTCTTTTTTTTCTTCATTGTCATTAGAAATATTGATGAGATTATATTGTTCTAATATATTACAAATACGATTAAATTGTTGTTTAAATAAAGCAGTTACAAGTGCAGAAGAACGACACTGCGGCACCCACACTCTTTGATGTGCTCTACCAATTACACCGATTAATGTAGAGGGTGCCATTCTTCTGCAGTTGTACAATAAAACATTCATTGAAATAATAGTATATAATAAATAACAATATGTGATGAAAAATATTATGCACTGAAGAATAATAATTATATGATGAACAACATTAATACATAAAGAAAAATAATATACGATGAATGACTTATCTGAAATATTTAATGAAAAAAAAATTATCATCCGGTTTGCGATAAACTGTATAGACTTGTATTAACATACTTTGTTCGTCATTGAGCCATGTTACATAGTCTCTAAACGAAAGACAAATTTACGAGAGGGTGCTGGTTGCTAATGTAACCTAAAATAGAGACCGTGAGAGGACATACTGTTTTTGCTCACTCTTGTTTCATCACATGTTCGGCCTTGCCAGCCCTCAGATTAGCTACCTGTCTCAGAGCATTTTATATGTTCTACTTACAATTGATCAATAATCGTCACTTAATAGTGGCTTTCTCTGACAACGGTAGCTAAATATTCAATAGTTTCAGTGTAAATACTCCATCAAATGAACAACGCTTGATGAAAATGATGAAGATTGATTATTTTCCAATAACAATCAATTAAACAAAAATTTGACTTTTTCCAGTCTGAAATTGTGATTTTGTATGATTTCCATTCTTTTTGTTTTGTTTGAATCCATCCAATCAATCAATCTATTACTGAGTTTTAATTATAAAGTTCGAACTGATCAGATCTTTTTATTAAAATCGATACAATTCAAAAAAAACCTTGATTGATAAAAATAAAATCAATTTTAAAGGCCAACCATCGATTTTCATCGTATTTTTTTTATGTTTTCTTTTGGACGAGTTGGTATTGGTGTAGTCATTTTTTGTCATTTGGGTTGTAGTTTCAACTACTTTTCACAAAGATAGCCGTAATATCGATGCCAGAATTCAATAGGGATGAATACAAGATGAATACGTTAAGAAAGGTAGAAGCTGATGATTTGAGATTTTCAACAGTTGGACGAGGAGGCTACAAAATGTTGTTTAATACCATAGTGTATAGAAGAAAATCGTTTGAAAAATAATGATTTACAACAAATCTTAAAAACAATGTACGATAGTGACACTTTGTTTGAATGATTTTTTTTTATTTTGTCGAGCATATGAAATAGATATACTTAAAATATATAGTGTAAAATACTGCTCGAATCGTTTTCATTTTGTGTCCTAATAGAGAATAGATCAAATTGAATATCCGTTTCCTACAATCACACATAATTTTATCAGTTTATAAACAACTTTTTTAAATTTTTTACATAAATAATTAGGTTCGAAACGATTTCCTCTTATATGGCATGGTATAAGACGGCTTCCTGCTGCTGCTTCATTCGATAGCTGAAAACTATAGGTCATCAGCTTAAGCGCAGCATTAGATATTTGACTATGAGCTAGTCATCGTTTGTTCAAATTGACTGGACCGAATTATTGTCTTTAACTAATGCAAACTTAACAGTAACGGAACCAAGTTATTAGATAGATATTACAATAAACTTAATTTCTAAAATTTTTCGATACTTTGTATTTCAAGAATATTACTTTTTAAAAAATAAAAATATGTGTAACAGAAATTTATCGAGTAGATTGTAACAGCGAAAAGTTGTTTGCTCCCTTCTATTTAGGATTGTTAATTTACCTTTATTATTATTTATAATAAAGAGAAAAAAGTTAGTAAAATTTTTATCTTTATATAATGAATTTCTTTTTTAAATGAAGATAAATTAAATAATAAAGAAAGGGGTTTTTCTCTGAAAACTTAACCTTATATTTTTCACAGTTGGCTTTCAACAAATTTATATTATGATACATATGAATAGGCATACAGGCAAGATTTTTTTAGCATATATCATTTCATTTATCATGTTCATTTTTCAACATGACATCACATATTGAAATGTTGTTGGTAATAAGAAAAAAATTGATTAAATATACGTTATTGTTATATTTAGACTTTGTCTATTTTTATATCACACAAAGAAGTATTTCTCTCATCTATTATTTATCTTACTTGTATAAATATAAAAAAAACACATTTATTTTTATTTTTCAAAGTTAAGATAAATTAATACTTTTAGTTCTATTCTATAATTTGTTGTGATTTGTCTTGTTCTAACTTAAGGTTAGGACTAAAAACAATGTTCACTCTGTTGTGCGACCATCTCTCATACCAAACGATCGTTTATGTCTATCTGTTAGGAAAAATAAGAGAATCTAATCAAGATAACGTGATTTTTTTTACTAAACATTGATATAAGTGAACCTCTTGAATACTACAAAAATCATTATGTATCGCCATCATTGTTATCTCAATTAAATTTTCATATTCCACAATTTTTTTATCATATTATTTTACGTGTTTACTAATCTATCATTAACCGCATAAGAATATAAAACAAACTGAATAAAAGTTTTTAAAAAAATGAAAGTAAAAACAAAACACGTATTAAACTTGAACAGAACTCGATTATCATAGAAAATAAAAAAAAACAATCTTGACTTCAATTTAATTTCTTATTTCCTTTATACAAACACTGTCAAATACTCGTTTAAATTTCGACTGTGAACGTTTGTCGCAGTGGATTGTTGCTGTAATAATGCTGATGCTGATGTTCCGATGTCGATACCAGCACCACTGATCGATGACTGAAAATATAAATATATTCATATAAAGAAAATTCTAATTTTTCCCATGCAATTTATATCAGATGCAAGCAAGTATTAAGAAAAAAACTATTTATATATATATATAGGTTATTCAAAAAGAAACATGAAGACAAATAAAACTAAGTTTAGCAGCGAGTAGCAGCAATAGGACTGAATTGAGCATTATAATAACTAAAGCTGTTGGATCCTACTTCAACTGTTGTTGTTGTTGTTGTTTGTTGTCGACAAGCATCAATAGTGGTTGTCGAACCTGAGGAGGAGGAGGAAGAGGAAGATAATAATAAGTGAGTTGACGTGCTCGATAATAATGAATAACAATGAGAACACACATGATTAATAGAATTATTAGAGTTAAAGCAAGCAAAATAAGCGTTAGTGTTCTTTTCACATTTATTGTCTACCTCATGAGATTCTGATATAATATCCATTGAATCTTCAGATATGATTTGATGTCTTAAACCATTTGAACGTCTTTTGTGATGTTGTTGTTGTGATTGATTATTAACCCATTGTATATCTTCATTTATTGTATCTAATTGTTGATGATCATTTGTTTCACGAATAGTTGTTCGAAATGAACCGATATTTGTTGATATAGCTTGATCACATATACCAGATGAGCTTGATGAACTACTTGTTGAACGATTATCATATGTTGATAATAATTCTTCAATTGTTGTATTTATTGGTGGTTCACAAACTTTATAATGTCCAGATAAAAGACGATTATTAACTGGTGATGAAGTTGTATGATCACTACTATGTGATGAATCATCATCACGTACACCTAATGTATATGGTGAAGATTCATTGATTGGACTTTTCGATTTAAAAAATGATAAACCCTGTGCTGATGAATTTTGACGAGTTTTAAAAAATGGTGGAACACGATGTTTAGCACGTTGTATATTATAATAAATAATAATAAATAATATTGCAATTATAATAAGAATAAATGCACTAACACTTGCTATAATAGCATACGTTGTACTATGATCTTCTCGAGATGTATATATTGTTGATGTTATTGTGTAGGATGGAAAATTACGAATTGTAATAATCACATCTGTTGAAATATTCATTATTAATGATGAACATATTTGTTGAACAGTAATTTGAAGTTGATAAGCTTCTTGTGTTGGTGGATTTGATGAATTTAACCATGTTAAATTACCTGTTGAAGAAATGGAAAATGAAGAATTATATTGATCTACTATGAAATATTGCACTTGACAACGATTATCTTTAGTAACCTAAGAAAACAATGAAACAATAATAAATTAATTTCTATGATTTGGTTTTTTTGTTCAAAAGAAAAATTTCATACCGATATAGTACCAATTATTATTGATGGATCATTAAGTGGATAATCAGCTGAGAATAGATATGAATTCATTGAAAATGATATTGGTGTATAGAGAAAAACACTAAGATTTGCTTGATCCAACTAAAAATTTAATTGATTTTTAGTAAAGTCAAATTATAAAATAACTCACATATCGTCCATCAGATACATTAAGAACACAAAAACAAGGTTGACATTTTGGAAGATTTAAAAAATTATTTGGTTGAATTCGAAATTGACGAAGACTATTTAATGAAAAAAAAATAGAACGAATAGTAATAGTTTTTTTCAAAAAAAATTATATTACCTAGTTTTCATAATATCTAAATTGACTAATGATGAATTACATGAATAGCCAAAGGTTAATCTTGGATTCTTAAAAAAAACCAAAAAAGAAAAATATTCGATTTTGATTTTAATTTTAATTTTTCTACCGTATCCATATCATCAACAGCTCCAATAAATGTAGGTATCTGATCAAGAGTATTCGTTGTATATCCCATCATTTTATAAGGTACTGCAAGAAATTTTGGTGCATATAAATTCAATTCATAGATATTGATATGTAATATAGTTGTTACTGATCGATTAGGATTATTTTCTTGTTCAGCCTATTTTATAAACGAAGAAAAATTTTACTTGATTGAAAAAAAGAAAATATAAATAAATATTTTTACTTTAATTAATAGATCAAATTGTGTTATAGAATAAAATTTTGATTGAAGAACTATAACGCCTGTATATTTATCAATTGATAAATAATTATCTATAGAAAAAAATTCAAATTAG